TCAACTGCAAGTCAGAGCCAAGAAAAGATTGTAGAACTCAGAGAAGGGGCAAAAATTTATTAAGCTGATAAACATGAAAGTTCCATAGGAAGCTCCTCACTAAACATATGAGAACTGTCTTAGTCCATTCAAGCTGTTATAACAAAAATAGCATAGACTGGTTGGCTTAAATAACAAACATTTATTTCTCACAGTTCTGGAGCTGAAGTCCAAGATCAAGGTGTTGGCAGATTTGGTATCTGGTGAGGATCCACTTCTTAGTTCATAGATGGCCATTGTCTTTCTGTAACCTCACATGGAGGAAGGGGCAAGGGAGCTCTTTGGGACCTCTTTATTAAGGGCTCTGCCTTCATGGCCTAATCACCTCCTAAGGGCCTCTGCCTCCAAATCCCAGCACATTGGGTATTAGGTTTCAACATATGAATTTTGCGAGGACACAAACATTTAGTCTATAGCAAGAACTTACACTATAAGGAATCCCTTGAAATGTGTATAGACAGTCTTTCAGCCACTAAGGATAGGTTTAGTCCTTATTGGACATCAGAGAATTCTCTGGGGGAAAGAAGATTCTCTGTGAAGGTAATGAATATAGGAAGTATTCTGTATGAACTCAACCATCAGCAAACTTCCTCTGTGGAGAAACACTGACAATGTAATGAATATGTAAAAGCTTTCTGTCAAAGATTGAATCTCATTGAGTAGAGAATTCATACAATGAACAAAAAATGTAGAATATAATAAATGTGTGATAACTTCAGCCAAAAGCCTCCCTTCTTAGTATAGCAGAAAATGCCTAGAGCAGTAGAGACCTTAGTATATCAACCATTTGAAAGAAATCTCCCGAAGATAATGGATTTGGGAAATCCTTCCAGAATATCCCATATACTGCATGTTCACCAAGAACCATTTCCTTTTGTCCTTAGGCCCACACTCAGTCTAAATTTCCCAACCACTCTTTCATCCAAATGCAGTAGTGTCTCCAACTTCTAGGTAGTAGAATATGGTTGTTGGTAGTAAAACAAGTCCCATCAAGACATCTTTGTACTATATATATATTCTCTGCTGTTCCTTGTCCCTACACTGATGTAAGAGTACCTCATGAAGGAATCAGGGTTCAAGAACTACTGTATGGAACAGTTTTCTTCCAAGAGTCTGACTTTTGCAAGGAAGGAAAAAACCTTCTCTGCCGAGCTGTTATAGGTTTGGGTGTACCTGACACTGACATCTTAGACATCCCTCAGCTATCACAAACCATGAATATGACTTCTGTGAAAAGTGACAGGTTGGTATGTATCAGAAAAGTCCCATGGGGGAATGCCAGAAAGCATCCTGAGTGATCATTGACTATTAACCACAACTCTTCTTTATTATTAATCATGTAAATAACAGAAATTGTTTGATGTTTCCTTATGATTACATTTTGGTTATGTACCTTTTGTAGCAATACAAAAAAAGTATTGAGGATTTCTCGGCACATCATACCAGGTGCACATACTGTTAATTAGTCCCTACATGAATAGTGATATTAAATTGGGTTAGTGTGGTATCTTACATGTTTATTCATAAAACCATCATCTTATATTAATAAATATCTTGAAGAGATACATTCAGGCTGTACATATGTCATCTTAATCCTCAAGCTTTCATCTACTAATTTTAGCATTTATTTCTGATCATTGCCCAAATTAATTTTTACTGTAGTTGCAAAAACATGCTATTTTTTCCATTATTCTTCCTCTGCTTATAATGATATGAAATAGTTTTCCTTCCTCCAGAGTTTTAAATTTATGTTTGTATAGACTCAGACTTTTTTTCATGCATTAGGTTATAATCCTCGAAACTAGTATTTTCATTTGGTTTGATGGTCAAATCATCTGAGATAAAGCCAGCAGAAGTTCATTCAGGTTGGCTCCTGTGTCTTTATGTTTCTGATATTTTTTTTCCTTTTACCAAATCATTCTTTTACTTGTTCTGATCAGGATAATGGTTAATCAGCTTTCATAATAGTTTGCATCATAGAGCAAATTCTTTATTCATATTTTTTTTGAAATTTTTAAGTTTTTGTTAAAATATTTAGATTATTATGCCTTAAATATTTATTTAAGGGGGCATAATATTCTGATTAGAATAGCATTTAATTTCCTCTCAGTCAGGTATCCGCAGGTATAACCGGCTTAACCAAATGGCTTAGATTCATTCCTGGGAAATCCAGAGACACAGTCCTAGTGATATGGTACCTGGGCCTTTCCAGCTTCCCTCTTTGCTGGCACATGTACAAAGGACACTCCCCAGTACCACTTCATCCATTAGAGAATGTTACCTGAGCCCTAAACATTAATGCTTGTCTCTGCTCCTTGCCTTATGTATCTTTCTTACTTGTCTATAAAGTATTCTTTCAACAAATGGTTTGGTAATCTGAGGACTCTGAAGACATTAGATTTTCTGTATACCTTTTTTGTGCTCTTCATGCTACTACAGGCACATAACTAGCCTACTTTTACATAAGGTTTTTGCACTGTTGTGTCCAGTGATAAACTTAGTGACTAGCATTTTCATCCTTTCAGTGCTCACCCCAGTTCATCTTTTCCTTGCCTGTCTGGTTGGTTGACAGAAAGGCACTGAATCTCAGCTGGTTGCCTAACTGCACACTACTAAACTAAATAATTTTATTATTATGACTTTTGCCTGCTTAGCTAAGTGTCTTAAGTCTTCCATCACCCATCTCCGACTTGATAGCTGGATGGACAAGTAACCCAGATTTATAACCCACCTAGAAGGAAAGAATCCAGGAAGTGTTGCCAGGGTAAGTGGCTGCCTGCTTTTTTTTTTTTCTCAAGCTTAGGCTCCTCTGCATTCTAGGGCCTGTCCTCCCATCTTGAGCACATAGTCTTCAAGTGTCAGGAAATAAATGTTCTGAGCCACCTCCAGCCCATTCTTAACCTGAGTCTCACAAATGAGTTGCAGGGAGTTCATCAGATGTCTGAGATATGTTCAAATATATGGTCTTTGCATATTGCTAACATGAGCATTCATGGCTCTTGTTAGGTTTTCAAAATAGTTACTATGTTATTGACTCAAAAATTTTAAGAACCACTGCTCAGGGGACACCCTCAAGAAGCTCATGAATATGTCTCTGTTACATGTGCATGTTTTTAGGAAGAGAATGTGTGGCTTCCATCAAATTTCAAAATGTTTAATAATAATTTTCAATTGTAGTTCAAAAGTGACCTCCAGGAAGCTCATGACTATTGTGGTCTACCCTCAAGTCTCATTTTACAGCCACTCCAGTATATGATACTACTCTCTTAGAGGTCAGGAGTGTAGAGGGACAGGTTGGTGTTCTGGGTTGGCTCCTGAGTGCCACCTAGAGTCGTTCTCATGTACTTACTCTGATTCCAGTGATTCCTCTCAGTGCCTTTGAGGGATAAGGCTGGAATGAAGTCTTCTAGAGACAGACCCAGGGGAGTCTACCAGCTCCTATCTTGTGGGTGGCCTTCCTTAGCACAGGATGATAGCTTCAGGGTACAGGTTTTTTCACTCTCAACTTATATGGATCTTGGTATAGCATCATTCTGTGTGGAGCTAAGAACAGTACACTTTGAGAAAGATCTGCGAGGTGACTTAGATACTGGTTAAATTTGGTTCCTGGACCCAATTCCACTGTGGTGAGGGTTCTCCCACACCAACAAACAATTCTTAGACACCCTGCAAGTGTCTGGGAATTCAGCTCAATTCTGACACTATCTATCTGGAGATAACATTAGATTTCACAGGTTAAAGGTTTAATTCTACAAGATTTTCACACAAACCCCACCCCCCACTTCAGATGCCAGATTCAAGTCTATCTGTTACCTGTGTTTGTGACCCACTGGCCAGAGATTGGAGGTTCCAACAACCCCTTCCAACTCAATGCCAATCACAAGTCCAGGTTGTCCCCTGTCCTTCTGATCGACTAACTATAAATCAGAGGTTTTCACAACCCCTTCCTTGGGTTCAAATTAATTTGCTTGAACAGCTCACAAAACTAAGAGAAACATGTTACTTACTAGATTACTAGGTTATTGTAAAAGAGTACAATAATTCAGAACAGCCAATGAGAGAAGCACGTAGGGCAAGGTATGTGGGAAGGGAATCAAAGCTTCCATGCCTTCTCCAGGAGTGCCACTCTTCCCAATCTCCATATGTTCACCAACTCAGAGACTCTCCAACCCCATCCTCTTGGGTTTTTATGGAGGCTTTGTTACATAGTCACGATTGATTAAATCATTGGCCATTGGTGATTGATTCAACCTCCAGCATCTCTCCCCTCCCTGGAGGTTGGGGGTAAAACTGAAAATTCTGGCCCTCTAATCACGTGGTTGACTCTATGGCAACAAGTCCCCATCCTTAAGTGTTTTCTAAAAGTTATCACAATAATATAACAAAAGACACCTCTTTCTACTCTGAACACTTAGGAAATTCCAAGAGTTCTGGGAGCTGTCAGGTTGTAGACAAACACCAAATGTATATGAGCAATATATTTTGGGCAAATAATCAAATATAAGACAATATTGCACTGGTATATATCTTTTAGTTAATAAATGAGTTCAGTTGTATATAAAATTGCATTCTAGGTGTGCATGGATATTAGTGTTCTGTATAGATGTATTTTTTATCTTGTGTTTGTAGTATATTTGAGAGCAGTTGTGTACATTGAGTAGATTCCTTAAGTCCTTTATCAATGGGACTTTACTAAAAATGTGCAATGGTTTTGTAAAAAAAAAATTTGAATATATATATGAAACTTTACCTGTATGTGGTGAGCACCAGTGTGCCTCAGGATGCTTAAACAAGAACCATCAAAGCTCTGCTGTGTGTATTTGTGTGTGAGTGTGTGAGTGAGAAGGATGCAGGTAGTGATGCTAGGCATCTGTTTACAAATAAATCTGGATCCTTGGCTGAGATTGGGGGAATATATGCAGGCCAAAGCTCCATGAAGTTTAGTAGACATCATCCCCTATCTGGTGATTCACATGCAGTGCTGAGAGGTATATACATTCTTGGTCACCCATTGTTGAGAAAACTTGATGAGCACCTTGAGCATTCATTGCAAATCATGGCTTAGGAGTAAGGACTGTATCTTAGAGCAAGGCTCAATAAATTATGGTCTGTGGGTCAAATCTAGCCCATTGCCTCTGTATACATAACTTACATGTTGAGAATGATTTTTATATTCTTAAATGATTGAAAAAATAAAATGAAATTTTTTACATGTGAAAATGATATAAACATTTAGAGGATTTTGTCTTAAAATAAATTTTTGTTGGAATACGGCTATATTCATTTGCTTACTTATTATCTATGGCTGCTTTTGCAGTACAACAGCAGAATGTAGTAGTTGCAACATAGACACTTTCATTGTGGCACTTGCATTAGTTCACAGTGCTGCTTATAGCATTACAAATTCCAATGATGCAATTATAACTTGACAGCATTTTGAGTTTCACTCAAAGTGTCATATTGCAGAATTTTAAAAATTACTAGCAATTATGTCAAAACAAGAAAAGTGGACTTTTAAAGTATAGTGTAGTGACGCGTGAATTTTGTTGAATTTTCAACACTTTTAGAAGTGCAAATAGTGACTGTATAGTAGATGTGTCAAAAATGTACTACATATGTATGCATTATCATACTAAGCCTGATCAAAATGCTCTCACCTCACAAGTAAACAATTCCCAGAAAAATTAGAAAAATTTGAACAATAGCACAGAATGATTTCACAAAATAAAAAAGATGTGGCTGCTAGCACACCAAGTTCTCAAATGGCTCATTTGTTAGACAAGAAAGGAAAGCTGTTTAGTAATGCTGAGTTAATTAGATTATGTTTGATTACAGCAGTTGAAGATGTATGTCCAGAAAAAAACCATTTAAGATTCTTATCTTTTGGCGAGGACACTTAAGAGTTGAGGACAGAGGGAGCAACACTGACAGTCAACTAAGAAACAGTACAGATGATTTAAGTGGTTTTCCTTGACTGATAATGAGCCAACAATTCTGTTCTGTTGCTGTTTATTGAGGGTGTCAGTGCTGCATTTGAAGTGACTGAAGAATTAACCTCTAAGAACAGTCTGTGTGGAACAACTGCAGTTGAGAATATTTTAAAAGAAGTTGTGAAAACACTTAGTACAACCTGAAGTAGAATCTGCTAAGATGTGTTACAACTGATGGTGGTAAAAATATGTGTAGAGCAGAAAGAGGCATGTTTGGACAAATTTATAAACCTTGATAGTCATTGTATTATTCATCAAGAGGAATATTGGTAAAAATATTTAAATCTATTACGTGTAATTGAATGAATAGTGTGAACAGTAAAACTTCACTTGCTCTCATGGTCTTAATTATCATGAGATCCATGATTTTTTTTTTAGAAATAAAAACATATTTTGAC